CTCTACTACGTGTTTAGAATGATTACGTCACAGTATTTGCAGCGGGACTGCTATATAAGGGCATGGGCGTCTAACAAAACACTTCGGCCCAGCCCTCCTCTACTGTGCATCACTTCGAATTTGTAGTCCAAGCTCAAGGATGCCAGCGCACAGGGCTGGACTGGCCATCGGCCGTACCGGGCAATGCCCAAAGGGCCGATGCCCATATTTGGGCCGGTCTGTCTGCCTCATACAAAACACATGTTTATGAGAAGTGTAAATCCGTTGAGAATTGTTCGAGCGGGGCGCGCGTATCCGCGGGGCACCTGCTGTATGTACTTGAACGGGATTCCACCACCTCAGCGGCCGCAGTGTTCTGGGGCATCTGCGGCCGCTTTGTAATGCGGCTGCGAGAGGCTGTGAGCGTCCAGCGGCCGCTCGCAGCCGCTCCACCGTGTTGTGGCTGAGCGCGCAGCCTCAACGTGGCCATGTACCCAACCCCATAAACGCGCACAGGACCATGCGTGTCTTTGAGTAATCTGTGAACCCAATAAATACACTGCTGCAGGCAGGGGGATAGCACCAAATTCTGGGCCCCGGGTACAAACAGTCTCAATGGGCCCCCACTACACGTTTCTTATATATATATATATATATATTTAATTGTGCCTTCATCTGGCCATGATGCTTTTCTTCCTGAAACTGAAATAAAGTAGCTTTAATGGGTTGCAAACAGATACTATATTCCATCATTACAGTGTATAGCTATTACGTATATGCCTGCATGCCTTTATGTGATATGTGTATATGGCTATTCATATAAAATATATAGTATATCTTATCTTATTTGTATGGACCATGAGTAGGTAAGTTACTTATTTGTTATTGTACAAACATACAACAAAATACTTTTTATGGTTCATTATTATCCACCAATTTAGACTTTGTGGCAAAATTCAATCGATGCAATCTTTTTTGAAATGAGCCTATTCCATTTTCAACTAAACACCTGTGCCTAGCCTTACTCCGCCCACATGAACATTTGAAATTTTTCTGTAAAAATGGCACCAGTGGAGAAGAAGGGGGGCTTACAGTTGGGCATGGTCTGGGCTGTGATTGTCAGTTGTCATTTCTGGCTTAAAAGCCTAAGTTTACACACCAGAAAGTCTCATTTCACCCTTGTTTACACACTAAGATAATTGTAGAGCTAGAAACCTTTAGACCATTAGACTTAATTACATTATTTTGACCACTAGATATCACCAGAAAACTCCAAATCGGTGCGGGGCGTGTGATTTGTATGGTTATAACCAGATGATCCAATGCAGAGACCAGTGAGTGACCCGTGACTTATGACTGCAAGACTCACGGACGGACAGATTATGACAATAGTGGGAATATAGGGTACAGGGTTGTACATGAAAATAACTCTTTGCTGCCTGCCTTTGAAGGAGAAGTGGACAGCAGTGTGTGTGAGCTCCCTTTACAGCTGCGCGTCTGTGTGTGTCACTCTGGATAACGTTTTTTTTTACCACGTACACAGCACACTGTTAGCTCTCCGTGAGTTTAGAATACAGAAACAAATGTCTCTGGGTTTTCTCCTGATGTGGCCTTAACACGTCTCTATATACTCACCTCTCGTGTGGAAGAACTGAGTAAGCAATTGCTTGCCCTCATTACACTTTTTCTCCCTGTCCTGTCTTTCTTTTCTTTTCTGAAATCCTGATTTTCCTTTCTTTGGCAAAGACATTTCTATTTTTCCCGCTTCTGCCGCTGCTTGTCAAACAAGTCAACTCGCTGCAGCGGCAGCAACACAGCAACAAGCGCACATGTGGGTCGTACCATTTGATCTTTTGTAAGGGGGTGGCAGGGCCCTGATATAGAATACAAATTTGTTTTTAGAGGAAAACTGAGGTTAAAACGTTGGTTATTTTTATACAGGGCCCCTTTCATTCAAATTGTAATAATATGAATATACCACAATGCCTAATACATATAAATATAAAGACACACGTTAGAGGGCCCCTCCCCGCCTTGGGCCCTGGGTACTCGGTACCCTTTACCCCCCCAGTCCTACGCCCATGGCTGCAGGAAACAGTCCGCGTCTCCCCTCTCCTCTCGAAGCGCGATTAAACACCCTAAATAAAGCTCTGATACCTACATTTTGCATTGCATTAAAAACTCATGTTTGAGCCCAAAAGTAATATGTTGTGAACAAATTAAACAGATTTAGAGCCAGCAAATGGCTGACAATATGCATTTCAGTCTTTTTTGACCAATTCTCATCCCTGTAACAAACAATAGTGTTGTCTGTGTCCACCTCCCTCACTCTGAGACATGTTCATTACCCTCTTGTAATGTAGACTATTGCATTTTATTTTATTGTTGAAACTGCATATCCTGATCCTCTACAGTATTTGCTTCCACATACTGTATAAACTAGGAGTCGGCAACCTGCGGCTCCGGAGGTGCATGCGTCTTTTTCCTTCTGTAGAAGGAAAAATGTTCTTAACGTTTTTAAATGCTGTAAAATTGTGCATAAGTAATATTCAATTTAAACATTTCTGTCAACGTAGTGCGTTTTATCCTGCGACGTAGGCCAGCGCCAGGCGGCCGCTGTTGTAAACAAACCGGCATGTGAGCTCTGCTTGTGTACAAGTCTCTCCATGGCCTCGCTCCAAAATATATTAGTGACATGTTAGTACCATACGAACCAGCCCGGACTCTGAGGAGCACAGGGACTGGCCTCCTGCTGGGACTCTGAGGATCACAGGGACTAGACTCCTGCTGGGACTCTGAGGAGCACAGGGACTGGACTCCTGTTAGTGCCCAGAGTCAGAACTAAACATGGGGAGGCTGCTTTTCAGATTCATGCTGCTAAAATCTGGAACAGTCTTCCTGAAGATGTGAGACAGGCCTCCTCTCTGACAATGTTTAAAACCAGGTTAAAGACAGTTCTGTTTAGCTGTGCATACAACTGAGGGATTTTATATTTTTATCTTTCTTTTTAATGTTCTGTGATTATTTATGATTTTAATGCTTTCATATTTTGTTCAGCACTTTGAATTGCCTTGTGTATGAATTGTGCTATATAAATAAACTTGCCTTTCCTTGCCTTGACTGTGCGCATGGATCCCAAAGCTAAAAAGAGAAGAGTCGATAATAAGACTGGACTAAGAATGAAAATTAACATTTGCTTTCAGTCAATGAGGAAGGCCTGCTTCATGTTTGCGATGTAATGAGAAGTTTCTATGAGATAATTGTATCTGTGCTTAGAAACTACAAAAATGGCCGCTCGGGGTGGAGTTGAACCTGTGTCACCTGGATGGGTGGTCAAAAGCGCCTCATTTGCATTTAAAGAGACAGCACCAAAACAGGTTGCTCTCAGACGCACCTCAGAACAGGTGTAGAAGAAAGGCCCGTGTAGCTACAAATAATGAGACTCAGACCCAGGCATTGCAGTTACGCTTTATATAGGCCACAAATTAATGATTTAGATGTAAAAATCTATTATTTGAAAACACGATATGTCCACTTTAATACAAACTCCTATCTCATGTGGGGATGTGTGTGTCTTTTTCAGTGCTGTCAAAGCTGGAAAAGCTTATCTCTGTCCTCAGCCCAAATAAATGCACATGTCTTACCTTTGGCCTAGGAATCTAAAGCCACGGCCTCCAAAGCCCTGTTGAAGGCTCTACATGTACATTCACACAAGGACACATGGACTTAAGACCCACTCTTTGTCAATGGTTTTGACATACTGTTAAAAACTGTTAAATACGATGTATATATGTGAGGAAATGAAAGAGAGACATTGTACTTTTATTATTGTATTCATGAAGGTTTTAAAGTGACTGTAGAAAAGCCCACAGGGACAAAATGTTGTAAAGTAGCAGTTGCCTCAAAGTTAAGTTTGGTAAATATGTCTGACGACATTGTCCATGTCAAACCAAAAACAAATAAAATGAATGATAAAATAAAATGAATGAAAGAAAACAGAAAAATACAATAAATAAAATAAATAGTAACGTAGTTGTAGAAGTGGCTATCCTCCTGAGGACTCACAATCTCGGAGGATTCGTAGGGGGATGGATGCTATGTGCTGCCGGGTCGGATTCTCTTATAAGGTGTTTAATCACAAAAGTGTGTCTCCCTGACCCCAGGCGCTTTCTGTTCGATAAAAAATGGGTGACTCGACATGGAAGTTCCGCTGTTACCGTAAGTTCTCAACAACAGCCCACCGTTCTTTTCCCCGAATGCGGTACAGCATGTTCATAGAGCTGAAGATGCGGGCCACATTCATTCCGCGGGTAATATGAATAGACACAGCTGCTTACAGCGATGGATCGTCTGTTGGAGCTGGAGACGGAGGACACGCGGATGATGTGCACGAAGGGGAGGGGTGTGTGTGTTGTAGAGTCTCTGTATGAGGGAGAGGAACGCGTAGCTTGAGTGAGAGTTACGAAGGGCGCCAATTTAAACCCCCCTTCCCCGCTGTCAATTGACCGCTGCGGCGGCACTAGACGATGCATGTTTTATATCGTAACAAAAAAAAATAATATATAATAATACCGAAACGCATTTTTGTGGGGGCGGTCTCTAATCGGTGTCGGTGCGCCACAGTAGTCTATGTTTGGGAAAACACTGATAAGTCTGCCTGCAACATCAGTCTGCACAACAACCACATTGCGGCAACACGTCTGCATGCAACACAACGTTTGCCACAACACATCTGCAGCAACAACAAGTCTGCTGCAACAACACGTCTGCTGCCAAACACACGTTGTGCAACAACAATCTGCTTTAAAACACGTATGCAACCCCCGTCTGCTGCACACCGTCTGACGCAACAACCGCCTGCTGCTAACAACACGCTGCTGCCAACAACACGCATGCTGTGCAACAAACTAGTCTGCAGACATCACGTCTGCTGCAAACAACACGTTTGCAACAACAGCCAGTGCCAAACACACTGCTCCACACTCCACACGCCTGCTGCAACACACACGTCTGCTATGCAATCAAACACGTCTGCAGCACAACAACGCCTGCCTGCACCAGCACGCCCTGCCAGCAACAACACGTCTGCTGCGAACACCACTTCTGTGGCAAAACAACACGTCTGTTGCGGGGTGGTTAGGGGGGGGGGGTGTGGGGGGTGGAACAAAAAACCACAACTGCTGCGGACAAACACGCCTGCTGCAACACGCCTGCTCCAAACAACACGCTGCTTGCCACCAACACGTCAGCAGCAACAACACGCTGCTGCGCAACCCGGCTGCAGCAACAACAGTCTGCTCTCGACAACACTGTCTAGCCAGCAACAACATGTCTGCCGCGCACAACACGACTGCTGCGGACAATCACGTCTGCTGCAACACAAACACGTCTGCCACACAAACACGTTTGCGCGACACCACATGTCTGCTGCCACAACACGTCTGCTGCAACAACACGTTGCTGCAAACAGTCACACTGTATGACGTTCTCTTCTCTTTTTCTCTTTCTTCTTTCTTGTTTTTTTTTTTTTTTTTTTTTTTTCTCCAAACAACACGTCTGCTGCAACTAAACGGTCTGATGCACACAACACGTCTGCTGCATACAACACGTCTGCAACAAAACACATCTGCTGCAAAAACAACACGTCTGCAACAACACATCTGCTGCAACAACACGTCTGCAACAAACACGTCTGCTGCAACAACACGTTTGCAACAAACATCTGCTGCAACACAACACGGTCTGCTGCAACAACTCGTATGTCTGCAACAACACGTCCTGCTGCGCAAAAACCCGTCGCTGCAACAAACACGTCGGCAAACAACAATCTGCTGCAACAACACGTTTGCAACAACACATCTGCTGCAACAACACGCTCTGCCTGCGAAAACACGTCTCGCTGCGCCAACACGTCTGCTGCGGACAACACGAGTCTGCTGCAACACACACGTCTGCAACAAACTCGTTAGCATGCGGACAACACGTCTGACTCTGCAACAACACGGACTGCTGCAACAAACGTCTGCAGAACAACACGTCTGCGTGCATAAACACGTCTGCTGCAACACACACAGTCAGCAAAAAACACATCTGCTGACAACACACACGTCTGCAACAACACATCTGCTGCAACAACACGTCTGCAATCAACAGTCTGCTGCAACAACACGTTTGCAACAACACATTGCTGCAAACAACAAGTCTGCTGCAAAAACACGTCTGCTGCAATCAACAGTCTGCTGCATAAACACGTCTGCCTGCAAACATACAAGTCCTGCAACAAGCACTCTGCTCGCAACAACCACGTTTGCAACAAAACATCTAGCTGTCAACAAACACGTCTGCTTGCAACAACACGGTCTGCTGCAACAACACGTCTGCAGCAAACAACACGTCTTGCTGCAACAGCTCGCCTGCTGCCACAAACACGTCTGCTGCCAACACAACACGCTGACTGCAACAACACGCTGCTGCAAAACAACACATCTGCAACAACAAGTATGCTCGCAACAAACACGTCTGCTGCAAACAACACGTCTGCTGCAACAAAAGACTGTTTGCAAAAACACAATCTGCGGGCCAACAAACACCTGTCTGCTGCAACAACACGTCTGCAGCAAACAACACGCCTGCATCCAACAAACACGCATGCTGCCACGACACAGATCTGCTGCAACAACCCGGCCTGCTGCAACATCACGTCTGCTGCAACAACAGTCTGCTGCAACAAACGTTTGCAACAAAACATCTGCTGCAAAACACGTCTGCAGCAACAACACGCCTGCTCCAACAACACGCATGCTCGCCACAACACACTGTCTGCTTTGCAAACAACACGCCTGCTGAAACACACGCCTGCTCCCAACGACACGCCTGCTGCAACAAACCAGTCTGCAGCAACAACACGTCTGCTTGCAACACTACACGATCTGCTGCACACCACACGTTGCTGCAACAACAGTCTGCAAGCAACAACACGCCTGCTGCACAGCACGCCTGCCGCAAACAACACGTCTGCAGCGACAACAAGTCTGCTGCGACATACACGTTTGCTGCCGACAACATGCCTGCTGCAACAACTACACGCTGCTGCAACAACACGCTGCACACACACACACGCCTCGCGGCAACAATTGACGTCTTGCAAACAACAACAGCCTGCTGCGAAACACGGCCTCTTGCCGCACACAACCCCGTCTGATGCAACACACGACTGCTGCGACAACACGTCTGCTGGGGAAAACACGTCGCTGCAACAAACACGTCCGCTGCAACAACACGCCTGCTGCCGGACAACATTCTGCTGCGACACTACGTCTGCGTTGCAACTACACGTCTGCTGCAACACAAGTTTGCTGCGAAACAAACAGCTCTGCTGCAAAACACACGTCTGTAACAACAGTCAGCAGCAACAAACCCGTCTGCTTGCAACTAAGCCTGCTGTCTCAACACGTCTGCCGCAACAAAACGTCTGCTGCAAAACACGTCTGCTGCACACATCACGTCTGCCAAGTACAACACGCTGCTGCAACAGCACGCCTGCAGGAAACACGTCTGCTGCGACAAACACGTCTGCCGCGACCACACGTTGCTGCCGGACAAACACGATCTGCAGCAACCAAACCCGTCTGCTGCGACAACACGTCTTGGCTTGCCGACAACACATCTGCTGCGGTCAACCGTCCGCTGCAAACAAACACGTCCGCTGCCACAACACGCCTGCCAGCGACAACACAGTTGCTGCTACAATACGTCTGCTTGCCAACAACACGTCTGCTGCTACAAATGTTTGCTGAACACAACACGTCTGCTGCGCAACCACACACGTCTGTAACAACAGTCTGCTGCAAAACACACGTCTGCGTAACAAACGCCTGCCTGCAACAGGGACGCCTGCAGCACACACGTCTGCTGCGACAACCACGTCATGCTCGCGACAACAACCGTCAGCTGCGACAACGCCGCTGCTGAGACAACACGCCTGCCTCCAACAACACGCCAGCAGCAACAACACGTCTGCAAGAACAACACGTCTGCTGCAACAACACGTCTGCTGCAACATACCGTCAGCTTCACCAACACGATCATGTCCGGCAAACCATCCAGCAATCCAACAACATCCGCTGCCACAACCACATACATCACTCCCCCCCTACATCAATCCCCTCCCTACATCATCCCCCCACTTAATCCCCCCCCTACATCATCCACCCCCTAATATACCCCTACTATCCCCCTACATCCCCCCAATCATCCCCCCTACATCCCCCCCCAATATCCCCCTAATCCCCCCCCCACATCATCCCCCCTACAATCCCCCTAATATCCCCCCCTAAATTCCCCCCCCTCAAACTCCCCCTACATTCCCCCTTAATATCCCCTAATATCCCTACATCCCCCCCACTTAACCCATATCCCCCCCCAATCCCCCCATCCATCATCCCTATATCCCAAACTCCAACCAAAACACCCATACAAACTCCCCAACCACCCCCACAAAAACTACCAAAAAACCCAACACAATACCCCACAATACCCCCTATCCACACCACAAAATACCCCCTCATCCATTCCCCCAAATCATCCCCCCCCTAATCATCCCCATATTCCCCAACCCCCCCCCAAACACCCCCCCCCCAATATCCCCAAACCCCCCAACCAACCCCCCAACCCTCACCACCCACCCACCACTAACTCACTCTCCCCCCACCCCCTCTTCCATCCCCCCATCCACCCCCCTCCTTCAGTCCCATCCCCACCCCTCCCTCCCCACTCCCCCCCCTCACCCACCACACACACCCATCCCCCCACTCCCCCACACCTCACATCCCCATCCCCCCCCAAATCCTATCCCCACCCCACCCCTCACTCCTCCCCCCAACCACACCCCCCTACAATCCCCCCCCCTACCATAACCACACAACCTCTCACTCTCAACTCTCCAAACCATCCCAATACCACTCAACCCAACCTATACCCCCCCCATCCCCACCCTCCCATCCATTACCACCTAATCCATCCCCCCCTCTTATCACCAACCCTACCTCTCACCACCACACAACACTCTCACCTTCTCACCACCACCCTCACATTACCCCCAACCCACTAATCCAATCTCCCCCCCCTCCATCATCCCCCCACCCCTCCCATATCCTCCCCCCCCCCTCCAATCCCCCATCCAACCCCCCCTACATCCATCCCCAACTCATATCCCCCCCTAAATCCCCCCCCCCCCCCCCCCCCCCCCCACCCCCCACCCCCCCATACATCTTCAACCCCGTACCCATCCCCCCCCCCACCTAAATATCCCCTCCCCCAACCTACATCCTTACACCAACCCTCAATCATCCTACACACTTACCCATCAACCCCACACACTTTTACAATCCCCTTCCCAACCCTAAATCCACACACCATCCATCACCCATCACACACACAACGCTCATCTTCTAAACCACTCATCATCTCCAACCCCTCCTTCCCATAACCCTTCCAGCCTCACCCAAACATACTCTTCCAACAACCCACCCAAACATCTTCCACACCACCCAACACTCCTTCATCCAAACCACTGTCCTGCCCAACAACCATGTCTGCAACACCACGTCTGTATACCAACACGTCTGCTGCGGACAAACACGCTGCTTGCAACACCACGCCTGCATGCAACAAACACGCCTGCTGCAACACAACTAGGGCCTGCTGCAACAACACGCCTGCTGCGACAACTCGTCTGCTTCCACAACACGCCTGCTGCAACAACAACGTCTGCAACCAACAACTCTCTGTAACAACCGTCTGTAACAACCACGTCTGCTGCGACACTCACGCTGCATGCAAACAACAGCTGCTGCAACAAAACGCCTGCTGCGTCAAAGTCTGCGCTTCTGCAACAACACGCTGCTTTGCAACAACACGTCGCAACAACACGCTCTTATGCAGCAACCACACACGTCTGCAACAAAAAAAAACCCCCCCCCACAGTTCTGCTGCGACAATCGTCTGCTGTAACAACACGTCTGCTGCAAACAAACACGTCTGCAACAACCGCTCTGCTGCAACAAAACGTCTGCTGCGCTAAAACACGCATGTTATCACACAGGTTTGAAGGCAATGTGTGGTGGTCGTCGCGCGGGCGGCGGGGGGGGGAGGTGTGGGGGGGGAGGGGGTATACAGTGGTAAGAGGCAATCTTGAGGTCATGAATCCAGTGAAAATTAGTCGCACACTTCTTTCAGTAATAAGTTACATCAGATCAAAAGTGACATAGTTTTGACTATTTTTCTAGGCTATTTCTGGGGACCAAAATTGGCCTGCTTCTTAAATCAATATTTCTACGTAAAAGTTCTGGTATTTGGTACAGTGGTAGGAGGGCAATCATGAGGTCGTGAATCAGTGACTTAGTCGCACACCTTTCTACAGTAAAAAGATTACAGTAGATCAAAAGTGACCATGTTTTGACTATTTTGGAGGGTATTTTGACCAAATGGTACTTTACCTCAATATTTCTCACATATTCTAAGTAAAAGTGTCTGGTTCTTTGGTTCAGTGGTAGAAGCGAATGTTGTGGTCATGAATCCAGTGAATCAGTTTTTGCCACCTTTTTTCAGTGGATAAGTACAGTAGATCAAATGTGACATGTTTTGACCCATTTTAGCTAATTTTGGCCAAAATGGCTACTTTGTAATCAATACAGTTTTCTCACTATATTTCTACAGAAAAGTGTTGGGTCTTTGGTCAGTGGTAGAAGGACAATCTTGAGGTCATGAATCCAGTGAATAAGTTCGCCACTTTTTACAGTATAAAAGTTATCAGGTAGATCTAAAAGTGGACATGTTTTGACTATTTTGGAGGTATTTTGGACAAATTGGCTACTTTACCTCATAATATGTCTCAAATATTCTCCAGTAAAAGTTTCTGGTTTTGGTACGAGGGCAGAGGGCAAATATAAGGTCATGAGTCAAGTGAAATTAGTCGAACACCTATTATTCCAGTTAAATATTACCATTACTTGAAAATTGCACTAGCGGACCAAATTGTGTACTTTATACATGTAAACAATAGAGTTGGCCTATACCTACTATGAGGACCTCACAAATCTGCGGAGGAATCGTAGGGGGTGGTGCTATGTGTGCCGTGGTGGCGATCCTCCTATACGGTTTTAATCACAAAAACGTAGTCTCCTCTGACCCCAGCGCGCTTTGCTGTTCGATAAGAAATGGGTGACTACGAAAGGACGTTCCGCTGTTCCGTCAGTTCTCAACAAAACGAGCCACCGTCTTTTCCCGATGCGTTGCCGACTGTTCATAGAGACTGAAAGATGCGGGCCACGTTACGCGGTAAATGAATAGAACGCTGCTTACAGGGATGTCGCTGATGGAGGACGGAGACAGCGGTGTGCACGAGTGGGATAGAGGGGATGTGTGTGGGTAGGTCTCTGTTTTGTGGGAGAAGACGCGTAGCTTGAGTGTGAGTACGATCGGGCCGCCACATTTTTAAACCCCCTCTCCGCTGCAAATTGAACCGCTGCGGCCGGCACTAGACGATGCATGTTTTAAATAGCGTAAACAAAAAAAAATATATCTATAATATACGAAACGCTTTTGTGGCGGGGAGTCTCTAAATCTGTTATATATATTTTATATTATATATTTATTTATTATATATATATATTACCCCCCCCCCCCCCCCCCCCCCTTGTCTGTGCGCACAGATTAGTCTATGTGTGGGAAAACACTGACCACGTCTGCTGCTAACAAACACGGTCTGCAACAACACATTGCTGCAACACGTGTCTGCTGCATCAAACACGTTTGCAACACACATCAGCTGGCAACAACAAGTCTGCACTGCAACAACACGTCTTCTGCAACAACACGTCTGCTGCAACAACACATCTCGCTGTAACAACACAGTGTATGCAAACAAACAGTGCTTGCAAACAACAGTCTGTCAGCAACAACACGCCCTGCTGCAAACAACACGCCTGCTCCAACACACGCTTGCTTCAACAACAGTCTGCAGCCAATACACGGTCTGCCTTTGCTCTTAACAAACACGTATTGCAAAACACGCCTGCTTGCAACAACACGCCTGCTCCAACACCACGCTGCTTGCAAACACACGTCTGCTGCAAACAAAAGTCTGCCGGCAACAACAACGCCTGCTGCTATACAGTCACGCCTGCCAGCAACAACAGTCTGTGCGACCAACAGTTGCTGCAACAACCGTCTGTTGCGACAACAACCTTCTGCGGACAACACGCCTGCTGCACACGCCTGCTCCACAACACGCCTGCTGGCACAAAAGTCTGCAGCAAAAACACGACTGATGCGACAACACGGAAGCAGCAACAACACGTCGGCTTCGACAACACGTCTGCAGCAACACACATGTCTGCTGCGTCAACCGTGCTGCGACAACCACGGTCTGCTGCAACAACAGTCTTCAACAACCGTTCTGCTGCGGAAAACCCATCTGCTGCAACAACACGTCTGCGTGCAAAATAAACGTCTGCTGCCACAACAGTCTGCTGCAACAACAGTTCTGCTGCAACAACCGTCTGCTGCCACAACACGTCTGCTGCAACAACAAGTCTGCAAAAACACATCTGCAGCAACAAAACGGTCGGCAACAAAATTCTGCAGCAACATAACCCGTCTGCAACTCCACGTCTGCTGCAACAACACGTTTTGACAAACAACCATCTGCTGCCACAACAAGTTGCTGCAAAACAACACGTCTGCTGCAACAAACGTCTGCTGCAAAAAACAAGTCTGACTGCAACAACACGTCTGGGGGCAAACAAACATCTGCGGCAAACACACGTTTGCAACAACACATCTTGCTTGCAAAAGCCGTCTGCTTGCGACCAACACGTCAGCTGCGACAACAGTCTGCTGCGACAACAAGTCTGCTGCAACAACACGTTGCAACAACTCGTTATGCTGCGGGACAACACGTCTGCTGCAACAACACGTCTGCAGACAAAACCAAAAAGACGTATGTCTGCACAACACGTCTGCTGCACATAACAGTCTGCTGCAAACAACACGTCTGCAAAAACACATCTGACTGCAACCAACACGTCTGCAAAAACTCATCTGCTGCCAACAAACCGGTCTGCCCACAACACGTCTGCTGCAAACAACACGTTTGCAACAACCCTTCTGCTGCAAGACACCAGTCTGCAGCAACAAACACGTTGCTGCAACAACACTGTTGCCTGCAAAAAAAGTCTGCTTGCAACAACACGGTCTGCAACAACAATCTGCTGCAACAACACGTTTGCAACAACACATCTGCGCAACAACAAGTACTGCTAGCAAACAACACGTCTGCTGCAACAACACGTAGCAGCAAACAACACGTTGCTGCAACAGCACGCTGCTGCAACAACAACACCGTCTGCCTGCAACAACAGCATGCTGCAACAACCCGGCCTGCTGCAACAACACATCTGCAACAACACGTCTGCGGCAACACACACGTCTGCTGCACAAAGTCTGCTGGCATTACAAACGTTTGCAAAAACACATCTGCTGGCAACAACACGTTGCTTGCAACAAAACCAGTCTGCAAGCAACAACACGCTGCTCCGAACAACTTCGCTTGCTGCCCGGAACACGTCTGCATGCTTTTTTATACAACACTACCGCTGCTGCAAAACACGTCTGCTGCAAACACCACGTGGTCTGCAGCAACAACACATTTATGCAACAACAACCATCTGCTGCAACAACCGTCGCCAGCAAACACGCCCTGCTCACAAACACACGCTTGCTGCCACAACAAGTCTGCTGCAACAACACGCCTGCTTGCAACAAACGCACTGCTCCAAATCAACACGCTGCTGCACAAAACAACGTCCTGCAGCACAACACGGCTCTGCTGCAACAACCGTCCTGCTTGCAACACCCGTCTGCTGCAAAACACTTACTGCAGCAACAACACTCCTGGCTGCAAACAGCAGCCTGCGGCAACAACCCTGTTGCTGCGAAAAACGTCTGCTGCGACAACACGTTGGCTGCGTCAACACGGCTGCGAGCACAACACGCTGCTTGCAACAACACGCCTGCTCCAACAACACGCCTGCTGCACAAGTAGTCTGCACAACAACCACGCCTGCTGCGGACAACACGTCTGCAGCCACAACACGAAGTCAGCTGCAACAACCCTGATGTCTGCTGCGACAAACGTCTTGCTGCGGAAAACACTGTCCGCTGCAACAACACGTCCGCTGCAACAAAACGCCTGCTGCGGACAACACGGTCTGCTGCGACAATACGTATGCTTGCAACAACCGTCTTGCTGCAACAAACATGTTTGCTGCAACACACGTCTGCGCAAAAACACGTCTGTAACAACATGTCTGCTGCAACAAACACGTCCGCTGCAACACGCCTTGCTGTATCAACACGTTGCAGCAACCAACACGTCTGCTGCAAAACACGTCTGCTGCAAACAACACGTTTCTGCAGTAACATCACGCTGCCTGCAACAGCACGCCTGCAACGCAAAACACGTCTGACTGCGACCAACACGTCTGCTGCGACAACCGTCAGCTGCGATAACAGTCTGCAGCAACCAACACGTCTGCTGCGACTAACACAGTCTGCTGCGACAACACAGTCTGCTGCGACAACACTGTCCGCTGCACACACGTCCGCTGCAAACAACAAACACCGCCTGCATGCGCCCAACACGTTGCTCGCGACAATACGTCTGCTTGCAACACCCGTCTGCTGCAACAACATGCTTTGCTGAACAAACACGTCTGCTGCAACACAGTCTGTACACAACACGGTCTGCTGCAAAACAACACGTCTGCAGTACACAAACACGCCTGCTGCAACAGCACGCCTGCGAAGCATCACACGTTCTGCTGCGACTAACACCGTCTGCTGCGAAACAGCGTCTGCTGCGACAACACGCTGCTGAGACAACCGCCTGCTCCAAAACCAGCCTGCTGAAACAACACGTCTGCAGCAAAACACGTCTGGCCAACAACACGTCTGCTGCAACAAACGTCTTGTCTGAACAAACGTCTGCAGGCAACAACACGCCTGCAGCAACAACACGCCTGCTGCAAAACACGGTCTGCTGACGACTAACACGTATCGCTGCAACAGAACGTCTGCAGCATCAAACCACGTCTGCAAAACAACACGTCTGCTGCAACAACACGTCTGATGCTAAAAACACGTCTGCTGCAACAACACGTCAGCAACAACACATTGCCTAGCCACACCCCGTCTCTGCAAAACAACTCATCTGCTGCAACCACTGTCTGCCAAACAACACATCTATTCCTTTTTTTTTTTTTTTTTTTTTCTTTTTACTGACCACAACACGATACTAGCACCACAACGTCTGCTGCAAAACACGTTTGCAACAAACATTGCTGCAAACAAACACAGTCTGCTGCAAACACGTTGCTGCATCACCAGTCTGCATGCAAAACACTCGTACTGCAAAACCAATCTGCAGCAGAACAACACGTCTGCAAAACACAATTGCCGCAACAACACGTCTGCTGCAACCAGACTGCCTGCAACCGCACGCTATGCTGCAACGTCTGCTGCAACAACAAGTCTGCTGCGACAACACGTCGCCAACAATCTCACATCTGCAGCGAAAAACGTTGACTGCAACAACACGTCTGCTGCACACGCCTGCTGCAACAGCTCGTCTGCTGCAACAGCAAGTTTGTAGCAAACACGCCTGCTGCAATAAACCCGTCTGCTGCAAAAACACGTTGCTGCAACAACCACGGTCTGCTGCACCAACACATCTGCTGCAACAACACGCCTGCTGCAACCACACGTCTGCAAAACACGTCTGTAACAACACGTCTGTAACAACACGTCCTTCTGCGACAAACACGCCTTCGCTGCAACGCAACAGCGCCTGCTGCTACAAACGCGCCTGCAGCAACACAAGCTGGCCTGCGAGCAAAACGACTGCTGCAACAAACACATCTGCTGCTCAAACACAGCCTGCCTGCAAAAACACGTCTGCAACAACCACGTCTGTAACAACCGTCTGCTGCGAAACAAGCTAGCGTGCACACAACACGCCAGCTGCAACAACACGCCTGCGCGACCAAACACGTCTGCCTGCAACAACCACGCCTGCGTGCTAACAACAAGTCTCCAACAACACGTCTTCACAGTAAAAAGTTACAGTAGATCAAAAGTGACATGTTTTGGACCATTTTTAGGCTATTTTGGACCAAAATGGCTAGTTTAATTCAATATTTCTACAGTAAAAGTTTCTGGTCTTTGGTACAGTGGTAGAGGGCAATCATGAGGTCATGAATCCAGTGAAATTAGTCGCACACCTTTTACAGTAAAAAGTTACAGTAGATCAAAAGTTACATGTTTTGACTATTTTGGAGGTATTTTGGACCAAAATGGCTAGTTTAAATCAATATTTCTCAATATTTCTACAGTAAAAGTTTCTTGTCTTTGGTACAGTGGTAGAGGGCAATCATGAGGTCATGAATCCAGTGAAATTAGTCGCACACCTTTTTACAGTAAAAAGTTACAGTAGATCAAAAGTGACATGTTTTGACCATTTTTAGGCTATTTTGGACCAAAATGGCTAGTTTAAATCAATATTTCTACAGTAAAAGGCCCTGTCCACACGGAGTCAAGCTCAGGCCTAAACGCAAAAATACTTTATCAATCCAGTGTATCGTCCATACGAGGCCGGCGTTTTGGGGGGGTGTAAACGAACATTTTTGAAAGTAGGTCCCAGAGTGGAAAGATTTCAAAACTCCGTATATGCCGCTCCGTGGTTACTGCCTCTCCGCAATGTATCTGAGACGCTTGCGTCATCGCCCCGCCTCTTGTTAAAGCACGCATGCGCCGCACTCAGAAAATAATGACAACAACAATGGCTTGTTGGTTTTGTAATCCAGTGTGACCCGAAGCAACAGTTCAACCTCATCGTCCGTCCATACTAATGTAGTACCAGCTCGCCCACTCGCCATGTTGTCTGTTTACAAAATTCTGCGCATGCCCAGTTCCCGTCACGGAAGTTTGGGCTTGATCCCGTCATTGCGTCACAGCGCCACCAACAGGTCTGGCATAGTTTCACAGCGTTTTCAGGCGTATTGACTACATTCATATGGACGCACACATTTACTGAGCTAACTCCGTGTTTACAGAAAAAGTTTCTGAAATTATAAGCGTTTTGTCTTCGTGTGGATATAGTCAAAGTTTCTGGTCTTTGGTACAGTGGTAGAGGGCAATCATGAGGTCATGAATCCAATGAAATTAGTCGCACGCCTTTTTACAGTAAAAAGTTACAGTAGATCAAAAGTGACATGTTTTGACCATTTTTAGGCTATTTTGGACCAAAATGGCTAGTTTAAATCAATATTTCTACAGTAAAAGTTTCTGGTCTTTGGTACAGTGGTAGAGGGCAATCATGAGGTCATGAATCCAGTGAAATTAGTCGCACACCTTTTTACAGTAAAAAGTTACAGTAGATCAAAAGTGACATGTTTTGACCATTTTTAGGCTATTTTGGACCAAAATGGCTACTTTAAATCAATATTTCTCAATATTTCTACAGTAAAAGTTTCTTGTCTTTGGTACAGTGGTAGAAGGCAATCATGAGGTCATGAATCCATTGAAATTAGTCGCACACCTTTTTACAGTAAAAAGTTACAGTAGATCAAAAGTGACATGTTTTGACCATTTTTAGGCTATTTTGGACCAAAATGGCTAGTTTAAATCAATATTTCTACAGTAAAAGTTTCTGGTCTTTGGTACAGTGGTAGAGGGCAATCATGAGGTCGTGAATCCAGTGAAATTAGTCGCACACCTTTTTACAGTAAAAAGTTACAGTAGATCAAAAGTGACATGTTTTGACCATTTTTAGGCTATTTTGGACCAAAATGGCTACTTTAAATCAATATTTCTACAGTAAAAGTTTCTGGTCTTTGGTACAGTGGTAGAGAGCAATCATGAGGTCATGAATCCAGTGAAATTAGTCGCACACCTTTCACAGTAAAAAGTTACAGTAGATCAAAAGTGACATGTTTTGACTATTTTGGAGGTATTTTGGACGAAAATGGCTACTTTAAATCAATATTTCTCAATATTTCTACAATACAAGTTCCTGGTCTTTGGTACAGTGGTAGAGGGAAATCATGAGATCATGAATCCAGTGAAATTAGTCGCACACCTTTTTACAGTAAAAAGTTACAGTAGATCAAAAGTGACATGTTTTGATTATTTTGGAGGTATTTTGGACGAAAATGGCTACTTTTAGGCTATTTTGGACCAAAATGGCTACTTTAAATCAATATTTCTCAATATTTCTACAGTAAAAGTTTCTGGTCTTTGGTACAGTGGAAGAGGGCAATCATGAGGTCATGAATCCAGTGAAATTAGTCGCACACCTTTCACAGTAAAAAGTTACAGTAGATCAAAAGTGACATGTTTTGACCATTTTTAGGCTATTTTGGACCAAAATGGCTAGTTTAAATCAATATTTCTACAGTAAAAGTTTCTGGTCTTTGGTACAGTGGTAGAGGGCAATCATAAGGTCATGAATCCAGTGAAATTAGTCGCACACCTTTTACAGTAAAAAGTTACAGTAGATCAAAAGTTACATGTTTTGACTATTTTGGAGGTATTTTGGACCAAAATGGCTAGTTTAAATCAATATTTCTCAATATTTCTACAGTAAAAGTTTCTTGTCTTTGGTACAGTGGTAGAGGGCAATCATGAGGTCATGAATCCAGTGAAATTAGTCGCACACCTTTTTACAGTAAAAAGTTACAGTAGATCAAAAGTGACATGTCTTGACCATTTTTAGGCTATTTTGGACCAAAATGGCTAGTTTAAATCAATATTTCTACAGTAAAAGGCCCTGTCCACACGGAATCAAGCTCAGGCCTAAACGCAAAAATACTTTATCAATCCAGTGTATCGTCCATACGAGGCCGGCGTTTTGGGGGGGTGTAAACGAACATTTTTGAAAGTAGGTCCCAGAGTGGAAAGATTTCAAAACTCCGTATATGCCGCTCCGTGGTTACTGCCTCTCCGCAATGTATCTGAGACGCTTGCGTCATCGCCCCGCCTCTTGTTAAAGCACGCATGCGCCGCACTCAGAAAATAATGACAACAACAATGGCTTGTTGGTTTTGTAATCCAGTGTGACCCGAAGCAACAGTTCAACCTCATCGTCCGTCCATACTAATGTAGTACCAGCTCGCCCACTCGCCATGTTGTCTGTTTACAAAATTCTGCGCATGCCCAGTTCCCGTCACGGAAGTTTGGGCTTGATCCCGTCATTGCGTCACAGCGCCACCAACAGGTCTGGCATAGTTTCACAGCGTTTTCAGGCGTATTGACTACATTCATATGGACGCACACATTTACTGAGCTAACTCCGTGTTTACAGAAAAAGTTTCTGAAATTATAAGCGTTTTGTCTTCGTGTGGATATAGTCAAAGTTTCTGGTCTTTGGTACAGTGGTAGAGGGCAATCATGAGGTCATGAATCCAATGAAATTAGTCGCACGCCTTTTTACAGTAAAAAGTTACAGTAGATCAAAAGTGACATGTTTTGACCATTTTTAGGCTATTTTGGACCAAAATGGCTAGTTTAAATCAATATTTCTACAGTAAAAGTTTCTGGTCTTTGGTACAGTGGTAGAAGGCAATCATGAGGTCATGAATCCAGTGAAATTAGTCGCACACCTTTTTACAGTAAAAAGTTACAGTAGATCAAAAGTGACATGTTTTGACCATTTTTAGGCTATTTTGGACCAAAATGGCTACTTTAAATCAATATTTCTCAATATTTCTACAGTAAAAGTTTCTTGTCTTTGGTACAGTGGTAGAAGGCAATCATGAGGTCATGAATCCAGTGAAATTAGTCGCACACCTTTTTACAGTAAAAAGTTACAGTAGATCAAAAGTGACATGTTTTGACCATTTTTAGGCTATTTTGGACCAAAATGGCTAGTTTAAATCAATATTTCTCAATATTTCAGTAAAAGTTTCTGGTCTTTGGTACAGTGGTAGAGGGCAATCATGAGGTCGTGAATCCAGTGAAATTAGTCGCACACCTTTTTACAGTAAAAAGTTACAGTAGATCAAAAGTGACATGTTTTGACCATTTTTAGGCTATTTTGGACCAAAATGGCTACTTTAAATCAATATATTTCTACAGTAAAAGTTTCTGGTCTTTGGTACAGTGGTAGAGAGCAATCATGAGGTCATGAATCCAGTGAAATTAGTCGCACACCTTTCACAGTAAAAAGTTACAGTAGATCAAAAGTGACATGTTTTGACTATTTTGGAGGTATTTTGGACGAAAATGGCTACTTTAAATCAATATTTCTCAATATTTCTACAATACAAGTTCCTGGTCTTTGGTACAGTGGTAGAGGGAAATCATGAGATCATGAATCCAGTGAAATTAGTCGCACACCTTTTTACAGTAAAAAGTTACAGTAGATGAAAAGTTACATGTTTTGACCATTTTTAGGCTATTTTGGACCAAAATGGCTAGTTTAAATCAATATTTCTACAGTAAAAGTTTCTGGTCTTTGGTACAGTGGTAGAGGGCAATCATGAGGTCATGAATCCAGTGAAATTAGTCGCACACCTTTCACAGTAAAAAGTTACAGTAGATCAAAAGTTACATGTTTTGACTATTTTGGAGGTATTTTGGACCAAAATGGCTAGTTTAAATCAATATTTCTCAATATTTCTACAGTAAAAGTTTCTTGTCTTTGATACATTCGTAGAGGGCAATCATGAAGTCATGAATCCAGTGAAATTAGTCGCACACCTTTTACAGTAAAAAGTTACAGTAGATCAAAAGTGACATGTTTTGATTATTTTGGAGGTATTTTGGACCAAAATGGCTACTTTAAATCAATATTTCTCAATATTTCTACAATACAAGTTCCTGGTCTTTGGTACCGTGGTAGAGGGCAATCATGAGGTCATGAATCCAGTGATATTAGTCGCACACCTTTTTACAGTAAAAAGTTACAGTAGATCAAAAGTGACATGTTTTGACCATTTTTAGG